TCCAGTATTATTAATCTCGTGAAAAATGACGATATTTTGTAAAGTATTTTCTTTCTACTTTTAGGGATTTATCTCACACTTGGGTATTTAGAATATATTATATTTTTCGAAGACGTGACTTTTATATCAGGAGGTACGGTTGTATCTCGTGTGTTACATCAATATTGTATATATTATATTATATATATCTATCAGAATTTATGCTTTACTTTCAATATATCGTTATTTATCATTCGTAGAATCTAAATGCCATTAAGTTAAAAGTTTAATTAACTTTAGGATATGATAAACGCAAAATGTAGATTCATACTCCATTTAACATTGTTTTTACAATACTGGGAATTTGTAAAAATATATCACATTTGTGAATGATCCACATATTTATTCTAGTGTTAATAGATATAAGTCTTTGTCATAACTGTTAAAAAAAAATTTGGATAAAATATACTTAAAAATTCTCTGATTTCTACAGTATGACAATGTCAAGGAAGATAATATATCTATCACTTCCAGTGAGTATTCTTGCTGTTCGATTATATGTACAACTTATATATGCGTATATAAGTATATCCAATTATATATGTATATTATACATATGTATAAGTGTCCAATCTTATTATGTACTCGTTAATGATGAAGGCTGCATTTTTTTCATTTTTTAGTCTTAAATGACTAAAGATAAAAATAAAGAAAGATATAGATACATGTATGCATTCATTTTTGTAACTTTAGGTATAAAAATAAAAATTTAATTAATTTGTTTTAAAATATTTGCATTATGAATCTCGTAGCTAGCTAGCTTGCTTGTGTGTGTGTGTGTGTGTGTACTTATTCAAGATTTTTATTTTATTTATATTCAATTTGCGGATGTACCTATCAAAAAATAATTCTTATTAAGTATAAGCTACTAATTTTTTTGTAAACACATTTTTTTAAAATCAAAAACATTCATTTAATCGCGATTGAATTTATTTTTTATTACTCGCAATTGATTAAAATAAATAAATGACAAATTTGTAAT